TAATATGGGCCGTGAGAAAATATGAACAAGCCTGAGTCAACAACCAATCACAGCAAAGTTAACGTGGCAAAATATGATTCGCAGAGAGAACTCTATTTGTCAAGGAATCCCGAAACAACCAATCAGAAGCCTGCGTTTATCTACCTAAACAACCAATCAGATGACTGCGCTTGTCTATAATAATGTAGTTGAAAGATGTATAAATACGTGTTGATTTTCATAATAAAAGGATCTGTTGCCTGGCCCTTGTCTTCTGTTGTTACATTTGGTGTCGCTGCCTACCGACAAATGGAAAGCCTATGCCCTGCTGTTTTTGATGGAGACATATGGATCTTCGGGCAGGACTTCAAGGCTTCTGCGCAGTTGAGTGGCGTTCAAGATCTGTCAGCGATGGAGCTGCTACTTGGGACGCTGCTGGTAGGTCGGGTGAAAGCAGCATATGAAAGTGTGAGCCGAAGTATGGACGAATGTTCGACAGGGTCAGGCAAACAGTTTCCAAAGTGGGAAGGACCATATATGGTCACTTCGAGATGGGGTTACGCAGACACAGTCGCAATGGCGAACAATAAGAGGCGCGTGAACGTCAGCGAGCTCCAGAAACGGATACAGCGAGACAAGCCAACGATGACGCCTGCACCAAGTAGATCAAGCCGACTTCAGTCGCTCGTATTTGACGGGGGGACGAGTGTGGTGAGAGCAGGCTGCTAGCCGATTGGTTGGCACTAATCTACGTTAAGGTCTAGGTCACTAATATGGGCCGTGAGAAAATATGAACAAGCCTGAGTCAACAACCAATCACAGCAAAGTTAACGTGGCAAAATATGATTCGCAGAGAGAACTCTATTTGTCAAGGAATCCCGAAACAACCAATCAGAAGCCTGCATTTGTCTACCTAAACAACCAATCAGATGACTGCGCTTGTCTATAATAATGTAGTTGAAAGATGTATAAATACGTGTTGATTTTCATAATAAAAGGATCTGTTGCCTGGCCCTTGTCTTCTGTTGTTACACTAGTACACCTGTTACATAGGTTATATCAATCTTAATAATTATTTTGTTTCACATCACTAAGATATTGTGAGGTCCTTAATGACTTAATTGTGGCTATGAAAGATGTGGAAGATGCACTTATGGCTCATATATTTAACGCAGTTATTATTAAACAAGTTATCTGTAAGCAACTTGTGATGTTCTGAATACTGCAAACTGTTGATAAGAAACTGCGTCAAAGGAAAAAATGCCGAAAAGCTAGAAAATACTACTGCAGTTTCGTTGGTTATTACCTTTTGGATTTATAACACATCCTTCCAACGTTCCAAGGACATAGAGCTTAGCCAAATGTACAGTGTTCATTGTGAAGGGTTTACAATTTAACTCTTATCATAACCTGTTCTAATTACTCGTACAATAGTTGAACGACTAAAACTTTTGAAGATGCACTAATTTATGATACTTCACGATTGCAGTTTATAACATAACTTATTGCGCCTGTAGAAATGACATGCATTCTTTGTAAACATTGGTTTATACGGCATATTAAATTATTATTATATGCTTGCTGCTATCCTTTAGAAGATGAACAATGTGTGTGGCAGTGAAAACCACAGAAGAATGATGTCATGAACAAAGAATGAGAAAGGAGAATGAACCATTTTCAGCAAAGGTAGGCAAATCTAAAGTGTTTAACTTTGATATTACTTCTTTCTTACTTCAGTGATTTAAAACCACTTTGTTTACTTATTTGTAGATATCCGGTAACGTCATTCAACCCGGCCACAGAGATTCGACATTGCCCAAATTATTACGACAAACAACTGCGTAAAGACATTTGCTTGTTATTATTTTTCATTAAATATATTTAACATCCTGCTTACCAGACCTTTCTTATTCTATCTGAGCGTAGATATATTTGTCATGATGACTAGATGCAGGCATGACTTATTAATGAGACCTGACGAAGTAATTGGTGGCATATTTTAGTGTAAGGTAAATCTAAATACGATTGCTAAGACTCAACGAATTCAATAATTCATCTCGTGTAGACTTCAATTTACGCTACATGTTAACAGCCTTAGTCATATAGATTGACATCACGCTTTAAGTGAAACATTCATAATGCAATACTTTCGAATACACGTAACCGTATAAGAACTGGAACTCGAATGCAGTGCCTAAGTTATGTCTACTATTGTCATTTGTCCCTAAAGACTTGTATATGACTATGAGACGTATGCACGTTACCTCACTAAAATTCTTATACTTTAATAATAATAATAATTTTTATTTCTGTAACAGAAACCAGCCATTTTTACAGGCATGAACATATGTACATTTATGAAAACTTATAGAATATATAATATGATTTGTTAATTTAGAAATAATTTGAATACTGATAAATGTGAGCGAAACATTTGAAATGAAGTGTACAAATAAGGAAATAGATATAGCGTCGAATCTAAACTGTGATTGAAAAAAAAATATCAATTTCACGCGGGAATCATAAATGATTGCGTTAGTTGATGAAGGTAAGTGGCATTTCTGTACAGGTGCTGACGTATTACATAAGAGATGCAGAATAAACAATAATTGTCAGTGAATCATTTAGAAGGAGTTTTAAAGTCTATTAAACTTTAAATTTACCTGTAAGTACAGCATATTTGTGACATTTTTAGTTGTTTATGAGACCCACTTTGAACTTGTCAGCAGAATTTATAATACCGATGATCCAGTTATTCACCAGATGAGCTAGCAATATCACGAACAAGTAGAGAATTGCAGCGCTGTATCAGCACCTTCGTTGAAAGCAGTATCTTTGAAAAGAGAAGAAGACACAAGAAAACCGGCAGACAGGTGCAGAAGTATATAAAAGTTGTTAATAATTCAAAATATATAACAGATATGGGGTTCATCATTTTATATTGTTTTTTTTTCAAGAAATATTATTTTCCCGATATTTTACAGTCTTTTCTGCGAACAATTAGTTTAAAGTGAAAGACAGGTGATAATTTCACCTACTTACGAGGTTTAAAAGGAGTTAAACACAAAAGTCAGAGTGCGTGAGCTATGTAAAAGAAAAGCGAGGGCCTAGTAATATGTTTTTCTGAAGTATACAGTTCGGTGTCCTTCTGAAGTAGCGGACTCATACCATTTACTTTCATTCGAGAGTTTGCGTCTAAACTTCGGCTCTAGGCAATTTTCAACTTCTATTTCTTTTTTCATTATTTAAAAACATTTTTTTTAGTTTTTATTTATTCTCATTTTGCAGAAGCCATCCGAACTCAGGAGCCATAGCAATAGAGTGCTGTCCCACAGATAAGGGTGGTTCACATATGTCCCCACCATCATATCCGCTGACTAGCAGTCACCACCCTCCCACCTTCCCACGTATGACGACCAACATCGTTCCTACACAATTAAACTTACGTACAGTTAGTAGTTAAAGTCCTAGATAGCACCGGTCTAGCATGCCGTGCTCAAAAAGGGAACACATGAATTGAACGACAAGATTTACATAAAAATTTTATTTTAATTATGATACAAATTTATTTTATTTACATATTAAGAACACGATTGATTCCTGCGATTACTCCGTCTGCATAAGTATTGGCAAACGCTTCTCCAAATTTGTCACTATTTCTCGTAATGCCCGCATTGATAATACTCTTTTTGGTTTTCAATATGTCACGTTGATTTCGAGGGACAGTTGTTGACGTACTTTGAGATGCGGACGAGTTGCGTGACCACGTCCATTGTTTACAATTCGGCATCACATGGTTAACCACAAAAGATGGAACAAAAAACGTTAAGATAACTATGAACTGAATATTACAGGTCCAATGATGGTAGTGCTTGTGGCCTGTTTCCAGTTAAGGCATTGTACACACGAATACGATAATGAAAATTACAACTTTCCGTATATAAGAACATTAATTAATTAAGTTTCGGTTGACATACATTAAAAACGGAGTCATAAAAACTCAAATATACCTGTAAAATGTGGCTTTCTGAAATGGACCAAAAGTAAGTGTCGGCAGGGGTACCGACAAGTCTGAAAGGTAACACACGTGCAGGCGCAAGCACTCAGATCAACCTCCACTGTATTCCCACTGTCTTGGAAGAATACATAATCGAAGGATTCAACCTCAACAACAGCCCATCGTCGCCTATCGTATTCACGGATAACCTTCCTCGCAGCGTATGGCGTCAGCAATCTTATAATTGGGATTAAACGTTGTGAACAGGGGTAGGTGAAGCATCGCGACTGAGCAATAATCGCCTCCTGCTGTATTCTTGAAAAACTTTGCTGATACCATTTGTACACCTTCAGCATACTACATCACGTTTGAATTCTTTTCTAGTCCACGCTAATAAAAGTGGTCTTCCGCGACCAAAATTATCCGTCACAAGTAATTGGAACAAAGAATACCTGCACGTTGATTAATGAATTGGTAAACTTACTTCCCTTTATTGGTGTTATACGTCGAATCGATGCCAACAACTTCAGGAAACTGTTTATACAATTCCATTTGCTCATAAGTTGCAAAACAAATTCTTGTTAGTGAATTCCTAATCGGTTCATCGGAATAATACTCCATTAACTTCCCACGGGATTTTAGGAATTCAAAAATGTCACGACGACTCGAAATACCTTAAGTATTTAACAAGCACGTCAACGTTAACTTTATTAACTGTTGCTTTCATATTTTTAGCGTCGATGCGAGTTATATCCTTCTGGTACTTCTCCTTAACATGCATTATTATTTCATCGGATGAGTGGGATTACTGAAGAAGTGGTTCCACATTTTCTTTCTCTTCAACTGTTAGTCGTCTATACCATGGGTCATTCTGCATGTACACCCTGCTGCATGGATGGTTATGTACCATATTGTGGGAAGCAATTATGTATTCACTATAACAGAATACCACGCGAAATGAAGACGAGCAGTTGCAACATTTAGACCTGAAATATTCATGAAATCATACTACACTTCTTCTTACGACTTATTTTTCAATTTCAATCCAGGTCTTGTACGATTCACTCCAAAAGTGCATTTAAAACCAACAAAAGCGTACTTAAATCTGTCATCCGGTATCGTTTTGCTATAATTATGAACATAGTGAGTGCAGGACAACTATATTGTTAGCATTAAATGACTTCCTCACTTTTTGGAATTCTGCTAATGACTTCTCAAATTCACCCCAGCTGAAGAAACGCCTTCCAAGTATTAATTCACCAAAAATTCCACTTAAGCCTGTGCGCCTTTCACTCGAATTGACTACCTGCAACGGACTAAAATAAAATTATCAATTAGTATCCATCTATGTCACAACTATTCCAAGATAAATCGTAAAAAAACAACATTGAAATACAGGGATGATCAATAACCATCAAGAAAATACAGCACGTATAACCTAAATTACAGAAAAACACAAGAACCCACCGGTTCCTTGACATCGCAAGCAACCGATAGACCAAACAACGAATTGTACGACACACAAAGCCTAGTACATGCACAAACAAAGAAAAGCAAACCGTTACAATACTCTAATTCACGTTTATAGTCATCACATATGCTGGCAAACGAAGCAAACACAACCACGCCAAGACAGCACCCGACAGCACGCACCCAAGGACAATTCAAACTCCAATTGACCGCCACTGTTCTAGCCAATGAAAGACGAAAAAACCTGAGTCGCGGAAAATATAACACATTACAACGTATATCCTCACCCGACTGTACTCGTAAGTTGAGTAAAGTGTTGAAAAACTGTTTGAAAACCAGTTGCTTCTTCATTTCACATCATGAATACTCATTAACAGCATGTTAGCCAGCGTCTTCAAATTGTAGAATTGGATCGTTCATGGAATTTGAGTGATTATGAGATAAATGGTTTGGAATTAATCATAGCAGTTAGAATAGAGTTTAACATGCAGAGAAGCACTTTTGATTCAGCAACCGGTGATTTTTTTCTTCATTTCCATCTGGTACCAGAATAACTGCGAACCATTGCATTCAATATGTCGAATAAGGCATGCAGGAGCTGATCATTAACATCGAATCAATAAACTTGATCTGAAATGCAGCTTTCAGCATGTTTTCGTTATATCATAGATATCCAGGTTTATTGGCGCTGCATAGGCAGTGATTTGGATTATGACGTATTCCAAAGAGAGTCTCCGTGTCCATGTGAAGTATACATGTGCTTTGAAAGGATTACTTTGTTGGCTCCTACCCCCACTGATTGTTAACAACAGCAGCTGTGGATTTATGTATTTCCTCACCATTTTGGATAAATCATCGCCGCATTCTTTTTGGGAAGGAGACCAGTGGGTGGATTATAAATGATGTCCAAGTAACTTTTATCTTTTCATGTGGTGTTGCGGTAAGTTTCAACCTTGTTTTCTCATATTTCGTTCGTATATTGGTTATGATTCGCCCTTTGTATCAGGTGGACATAGTTTGATCGACTCTTGGTTGAATGGGTGTTATTGCCATGACTGCTGCTTTTTTGTCTGGAATTATAAATAGAGACAAAACAAACAACAGGTGTAGTCTCTGAGTTCATACATTAAATGGGCCTATGATTTCTGAAACTCTTACATGGGAATTACCATTGGTATCAATTACAAACTCACTTAGTGTGTCATTAAGTGACTTTTCAAAGGAGGCCAATGTGCTTGCTAGTCGTATTTTCTCAGGTAGTTTGTTCCATATTTGAGCATACCTAATCAAGAAAAACTTTTGCCTGGTGGCTGTTTTACATGGTTCTATAGCCACTGTACCTTTAGTGTGCCTAAGGTTGTATCCTGTGTTACCTGAGGACCGAGTATAGTTAGCAGGGGTATAAACTATTTGGTTAAGAAGCTTATAGAAGAGTAACATATTTAGTCGCAGTCTCCTTAACCATAATTTTTCTAGTCCTAGGATCTCACATCTAGTTGAGTAGTTTGTGCCGTTATCGGTCCCGAGTACTTTTCGCGTGAAGTACCTCTGTACTCCTTCTACTTTCAGTTTGTCTTCTATGCGTGTACTACTGAATATGAATGAGCAGTAATCTAGGAGTGGGCGCACACAAACCTTGTACAGTAGTATTCTGAATTCGTTTCTGTAGAAGTTCCTGAGTAGGAAACCAATAAGCCTGCGTGATTTCGATACTTGTTTCGAGATATGCTCTGAAAATGATAGATTGTGTGAATATTTCAGTCCTATACACAGCATATATAGAATCGGCCAAAAGCCTGTCCCTACAGTAAGTCAGTCTGTACGTCTCTTCGAAGTCGTACTAAACTCGAAAGAAGAGAGGGGTGCCATTCTAAGCAACTCATATTCTTAAGGGGTCAGGCATATTCTTAGCGCCGACTTAATCCTAGCGGACCGTGCCAAAAGACAGTCTGCGGCCCTAGAGTTAAGTGCACGACGCCGAAACTTCGAAAAGGACTTTAAGATTAAGGGCTTTCGGGCTGTCCGAGTTCGCAGTTTAATGATCCTGAAACCTCTGTGGGTAGGCCGGGGAAGCACCGAACTGAATTGACAGTTTGCTACACAATCGCCCCCGGCCTGTTGAACAAACGGACTGAGTTGGTTAACATGACAAACTCCGGAAACCCGGATGTAATTATCATCACAGAGGTATGGCTCACATCCAATATAACTGACAACTAACAACCTGACAAAATTCGAAGTGCATAGGATGGACCGACTAAACCGCAAAGGAGATGGTGTAATCACTAACCGCATGACATGCTAAACCGTGCGTAGCGTCGGAGCACTCGCTCACGAAAGTGAGCCGTGCGAACTTCTACGCTGCAGACTTAAATGCATAGGCCAAGACATTGACCTCATTGTTATGTACCGCAATCCTGACTGCAGTCCAAATGAATTTCCGATAGAGAAGCTAGGATCCTGGACTTCGAAATGTCGAAGTCTCGTAGTCGGTGACTTCAATGCCCAACAGTGGACTGGACGAGCCTTAGAACTCTATCTTCAGTCAACTCCTTTGATCACAAACTGCTGGAATCTAGTATATCGCTAGCCCAAGTTCAACATATCATGAAGCCCACGCCCCATGACTCACAGCGCTCCTCCTCAACTTTGGACCTAGTGTTCTCACACAGTGTGGAAGTGGATCTCATACAACGTCTTCCTCCTTTAGGAAGAAGTGACCATGCTGTGCTCATTTTCAAGTTCACTGAACAGGCAGCAAGGATCAAAACCTCAGCTCGACCAAACGTTTGGAAAGCTGATATAAATGCGATCGTCTCGGCAGCCAACTCAGTAAACTGATACATCAACTCAGATTCCCAAGTAGAAGGCACATGTAGTCAATATAAACAACTTTACGCCTAAGTAACTGAACGTTTCATCCCTAGATTTGTCCAAAGGGTCGAAAACTTTGCCCCCTTTGGATAAATCGAGAGATTAGTAAGTTACTCAGACGTAAACACAATTAGTGGAACCTGATTGCCACACTTGAGACTTCTGAGACCAGATAATTATATAGCACTGCTAGAAATGAAGTCATTGTAGAAGTCCGTCAATCAATGATGAAGTTGGAGGCACATCTGGCTCAGAGTGCAAAGAGACAAACTAAGAAAAATTTCTCGTACATGAACTTCAGGAATAAAACATCCAATGGTGTCCCAAAACTGACTATTGGCAACGATACAAACGAAGAAGATCAAGAAAAAGGAGAAGCAATGGCGGATTACTTCTCCCAAGTCTCCACTCAGGAGTCATCACTCCCTGTAGGATCAGCTTTGGCTGCATCAGAGGAATACGGGATAGATTCTGTTGACATCGACCAAGGCACCGTGCTCAACTGCTTGATGAAACTAGATGCAGGTAAACAATGGGTCCTGGTAATCTTCATTCAAGGCTTCTTAAGGAGCTATCAGCTAACATAAGCGGTCCTTTGACCACGATCTTCAAGGTATCTCTCCTAAATGGAGTGTTACCGCGTGACTGGAAAGACGCCGTAGTGACCCCCATTCACAAAGGAGGATCAAGACAAAGCCCTTCAAATTACAGGTCTATCAGTCTCACCAGCACTTTAATCAAGGCACTGGAAAGAATCATCAAGAAAAGCATCATGGTATATCTGGAAAACAGCAGCTTGTTATCTAGAGCACAGCATGATTTCTGAAGGAACCTCTCATGCCTGTCAAATCTCCTGAGTGCTAGAGAAAGCTGGGTTAGTTCAAGGGACAACAGAAGACCCGTTGACGTCGTCTTCATAGACTTCAGCAAAACATTTGATAAAGTACCTCACAAAAGACTACTCATGAAGTTTGAAAGTTTTGGTATCAAAGGCAGATTACTAAAGTGGCTCGGGGAATTCCTCGTAGATAGGAGTCAGAGGGTTAGGATCAACTCGAAACTCTCCTTTCGGACAACAGTACGTAGCAGAGTGCTACAAGGCACGGTACTCGGACCTCTCCTAATTATTTTGTATACCAATGTGTTGTCTCTGCTCACCGACTCCCCTATGGTCCTATACGCAGATGACTTAAAAGCTTGATGAGGGCTGAAGGGCAACAGTGATACGTCCACGTTGCAAGAGGACCTCAACAAATTAACAGAGTGGTCCATAGAATCGATGCTCCTGATAACTGTGGCAAAATGTGCGAACATGCACATTGGACAAGGAAGCGCGATCTCCTACGAATTAGAGGGAATAATACTTCCATCAGTTCCGACTCACTTGGACTTAGGTGTCATAGCCACGACTTCAAAACTACAGCAGACTGTCGCGTGGTGGGTGCACGTAGCTTCAGGTCCTTGTGGGCAATTCACAGAGATATGTTCACCTACTTAGAAGCATCTCTGGTGAGGTCAAGACTGGAAAACGGCATCCGAGCCTCCAGTCCTTGTCTAAAAGGGGACTCACACATTCTAGAAAGGGTTCAAACAAAAGCAACATGCATGGTTCACAGCATGACCAACTTATAATACGAGGAAAGACTAGACAGTATAAATCTTTTCTCACTGTCATACCGTAGACAGAGAGGAGATTTAATCACAATGTTTAAAATTTTAAATAATAACTTCGTCCTGACCTATTCTCTCTTTTCCTTCCCACCAGGTCGGAACACCTGAGAGGACATAGCAGGAGAGTTCAAAAGCCAAGAAGAAATCATATTGCTGTTGAGTACTGGTTCTCACACCAAGTCATAAACTTTCGGAACCGACACCCAGAAGAAGTGGTGCCTGCTACCTCATCTGGTTCGTTCAAGAAAAGTTAGGAAAAACACAGAAATTTACAAGAAAAGGATTAACATAGGTTCCAAGC